TTTATATCATTATTTTACCAAACAACTATTTTAGATAAAATGTTTTTTTTTAATATAAAAAAAAACTTTCGTTTTTATAAGATTTCAAATTTTAAAACATTTATATAAAATATTAAGTAATATTTTAGGATGTTGGCACATGGGTAAGTAATTTATTTATGGACTCTTACATCACAAGTTCAAGTCTTGATGGCCCCTACACTAAAATTATTTTTTATTTATTAATTTTTCTTTTCTACTAAATAATTATTTCGAAAATCCCAATGACAGAAATTGGATCTTTCTAATATTCTCGAGGTGATWATTTGTTTTTCTAATGGTCTTTGCGCCACTCATGCTTGTTGGTTCATATTTTATTATAAAATATGAACCAATAAATTTGGGACATTTAAAAATCAAACACAAAATATTTTTCTTTTTGGACCAAAGTATAATAGGATAATTGTTGACAAAGTATGGTACCGATTTCGAACGGGTGTCGTAGGGTGCTAACACCTTCCCTACACTCAGTCGACTCCCGAACCAAAATTCTGTTTTCGTAGACCAACTTTTTAAAAATAGGTGACCAATCACACCTCGTAGATGATTGGTGGCGACTCCAAACCCAAATCTCGAAAGAGACCTGTCAGGAGATGACGTCGGCCGCTCCGCGTCGTGATGACGTTGCGACATATACTATTATTCAACTTTGTAAAATTGTGGAATGGTAATGTCACAAACCTAATATGCCTCCCTTGCAACTTCATGAATATGTCACAAATATCTCGAGATGTTTTCATGATTGAATCATCTTTGAGAGATGTTTGAAGTTACTAAGAATAAAAAAGTATTGAAACTTGTGAAAAACATGTAGAAGAAAGCCTATTTTTATAGTAGTAGAGGATAAAAGGTTACAAAAGCCTTTCAAATTCTAAAACTCTTGAAATTCTAGTATGAATTTTAATTAAAGAAAAAATTAATTTTATGTTGTTGGAAAACTTTTTGCATTCTAACCTTTTATATTCCATGCATTTATAGTATGGATAATTAATAATTAATTTAATATTTGTAATAATATATTAATGATATAATTTGTAATTTGTAAATTTAGTAAAGGGCAAAAGTGTCCAAAAATGTTTTTCCTACCTTTTTAGATTTAATTATTTTACTTAAATAGTTAGTTGGATTTAGTTTATAAAATAAAAATGTCGTTGACCGCATGAAGGGGTGTTTGGTTCGTTGTTTTGTCTTGGTTTATTAAGTCTGAGTTTGTTAGGTGTGGGTTTGGTTGGCGCAGTAAATAAGCTTATTAAGTTTGTGTTTGTTAAGTCTGTGTTTTGTATTTTGTTAAACTGACTTTATTAAACTTGTGTTCGGTTGGTTAAGTTTTAATTTTTTTAAAAAAAATATAATTTATAAACTAATTATTTAATTAAAATACATTTAAATTATTTTACAAAAGTCAATTTTCTTATGAAATTAGAAAAATATCATTTTAAGGATATACAAAATATTTTTAATATATTTATCCATCCAATTTTTTTTCCAATGATTAATTTCTAAAATAAATATTCAATTATCTATTAAAATACTTTTAAAATATTTATCAAAATTTAAACAAGAATATACATATTCATTCAACATAAATTTTACCATAGAAAAAATGTTATCAACCATTTATTTAATTTTTCACTATTTACTATCTTAAGTAAATTTAATTCCTTAATTATTCTAAAAAAAATATTACTTAATTATCATCAACATTACTATTAAATTTCACTTATTTTTATTTGACAATTACATTTTATTACAAGGTGAAAACCTTTTAAATAATAATTGTTTAAAAACTATTAAGTTAAAAAGAAGATAAATAATTAAAATAAATAATTATACAAAATTATAATGTCTTTCATTAATTATGCAAGTGACTTTTCCATTTTCACAAAATACATAAGAATACTTACATTTTATATACCTTCTTCAGATCCTTATTAATGTAACTGACGAGGTTGTTTAAGTTTACTCCTTTTTACGATAGCAATTCTGGAGCGCATAAAGTCAAACACATTTATTAAGTTACATATGTGGCCCAGTGGGAGATTGTTGGAATTTTTAACAATATGGGGCCACACATGTACTAATTTAATCTGTTTTTTGCTATTTAATTAGACCGAGATAAGTGATGTGTAAATTTTGGTTTAATAGAGTAATTATAAAATGGCTATGGACAAGATGTATAGATACCATGAAATAATTTCCAATTTGATGAGGGGTCAAATTGGAAATATCAAAACGTTGTAACCGACCAGGGGTTTTTGGTCGGTTACATAGGGGTTGTGGTCCCCAAGTCAGATCATTCCTCACGTCAGTATTCTCTTATCCCTTCATAGAGAATCTTCTCCCTGTTCTACTAATATACAAAGTAAAACCAGAGGAAAACGTGATTCATCTAGACTTGGAAGATCAAATCCGTCAATCGGTATTCAATTATGGATCAAGGTACGCTTCCGCTTCTTAAGTGTTAATTCTCTTGCATTGAAATGGGAAATCGATGTATGGCTTTTAAGTTTTGAGTTTCTTTTTTCTCAATATTGCACCCCTTGAAGTCTTTTTGAGCGCATGTTTTTCATATCGACTTGATGTTTATTATTAGCTATGAATTCAAACTTTTTGGTCACACTATAGGAATGAGTTTCGCCTGAAGCATCAGACGAATCAAAAGAGCTGGAAAGAGTTTGAAGAAAAGGGATAAGAAGGAATAAAACTCTTCATTTAATATCTTTACATATTATTTAATGCATTGATGCCCAAATCACAAGGTGCCATAGTATCACTCTCCAAAGCCTCGAACGCTGCAAAAAGAAAAGAGTAAAGAAAACAAAAACAAAGAGACAACAAACAAACAACCATGCATGCATGTGTGAGTAAAAGATAAGAATTTGGAAGTGATTTGGTGTGTGTCTAGTTGTCATCTACACGTGCTGATCTGATCTAATCTTAATTTTATGAACAAAATATATTAAAGTGATATATATATGTTTGTTTGGAAGAAATTAAAATTGGAAGATCGTCAAGGCATGGTGAAGGAGAGTAGAGCTGAGGCAAAGCTTGGGGTTGGAGTGGAAACCCTTTGGAGAGCTTTGGTTAAAGACTTGAGATTTATAATTCCAAAGCTGATTCCAAACACAGTGGACAAAATTGAGCTCCTTCATGGGAATGGTGGCCTTGGTTCTGTCTTCCTCTTCCATCTTGCCCCTGGTATGCTATTACTATCACTCACTTCTTTTCATCTTAATTAATTATTTTGTGACGTTGTTGCTTTGAAAACTGAGATTTGCAGGTGTGAAGATTATGAAGACTCAGAAGGAAAGGATTGTGGAACTTGACGAAACAAACCATGAATTTGGGCTGCAACTGATTGAAGGGATTCTGTTAAAAACAGGGTTTTCTTCCTTCAAGACAACGTTCAAGCTTTCTTCAATCACACAAAATGAAACCCTTGTGGATATCAAGGTTGTTTATGCGACTCAAAAAGATGAAGATGATGAACATGACGAAGCCCACATGAAGGAAGTGGCAACTAAGCCACCTCTCTCTTTTCTTCACCTCTTGGAAAACTTTCTTCTTCATTCATCTTCCTAACAACTCTTCTTTTTCATTTGTCTTTCTCTTCTTTTTCATTTGTCTTTCTTTAATGTGCATTTTCATCTTTAGTTATATTATATTCTCGCACATGATCAAACCATTACAAAACATTTGATGTATTAATTTCAAATGATTCAAGGCTTTTAAGATATACCAARCTSTTATAAAGATAAAACAAAGTAAGATATCGAAGGACAACATTAGACAGGTGAATAAAACTACTTGCTGAAATAAAATTAGTTCGAAGTATAAACAACCAAAAGCAAGTAGTGAAGTTCAACTAAAACAAATCACCTTTACACAATTTGATAAGAAACGTTACAAAATTTAATTAATTAATTAATCAAAAATTAATTGCATATGCAGTTAATCAACTATAAATAACTAAACAGCATAAAAAATAAAAAAAAAACAGCATAACAAATAAAAAAAAAAACAGCATAACTTTAAAAAGATATAGAGAAAAGGATTACATTTTAGCGATATTATTTTACTGAGACAATCCTCTTACCGGTGAAATCAAATAATCTATACCGATCTTTTGAACGATATTCATTCTTTTGATAGATTCATGATCAAATAAAAATATTTTTTTTTTTTGCAAGATTAAACCACTCACTGGATATCCCTTACGAAATCTTAATAACATAAAATAGATTGATCCATGCAAAATAACAATAAATTTGCCTGTGTATCTACATGTAAACATTATTTAATTTACTAATTCACTAATGTAAATGAAGCGGGGATAGCTCAGTTGGGAGAGCGTCAGACTGAAGATCTGAAGGTCACGTGTTCGRTCCACGTTCACCGCAAATTTTTTAAAAACGCACATCAAGCACACGACGTCGTTTCATTTGTCATTAAAGAAATCCCCGGAAACGAATATGGGCCTGGATAGTTGGGCCGTCTCCTTCAGAAAACCGTCGTGTTACAGCCCACAGCCCACGTTTTCTCTCAATCTCTTTCCTTTTTGCGTTTTCTTCCTCTTCTCTCAACTTATGGAAGATATTTTGTTTTTTCTTTTAATGTAATTTCTATCTTCCCAATTTTGATTTTTAAATTCATAATTCCAAATTTCAACCAAAAAAAAAAAGTTGCAAGTTTTGTCTATATTTTCTTTTTATAATAAATACAATATCAATACATTTATTAATTTTGTATCTCATTTTCAGAGGAAAAAAAAATTGTTATTATCTTTTTAAAAAATGGTTAAACACTTTACATTCGAAAAATGATCCTTTTATTTCAATCTATTGATCTTAATGATTTATATGAAGTTAATAAGCGAAAATAACAATAATGGATAAAGTTATACAAAATCACATTGCAATGAATGAAATGGAAGGGCAGAGTGGGTATTTGACATTGCAATGAATTGATGGAATAAATGGATGGTGGGTGTAGCAAAATAGAGAGCCAAAATAGACACACAGTTTTCAGAGGGAGATCAGAAAAAAATGGTGTGCTTCTGTTTTCTGGTGGACCAGAAGAGGAAGGTACGGCGGACGAGGCCGGTGGCCGGCACGTGCTCGCGGTGCGGACGGGGAGCGAAGGTGGCGGACATGGAAACCTCCACCAGATTCTGCCGGATTCCGATGTACTCCACTTTCTGGAAGGCCATCATTTGTTCCACTTGTGGCGCTCTTCTTAAATCCTACAGATAACTTTTTTTTTTCTTTTTTCTTTTTCTTTTTCCCTTTCTTTTTGGGTATGTATATATATAATATATATATATATATATATATTTTAAACTATATTTTGAACTGTTGCGTTAATAAGTATTTTTTTTTCTTGCCTGCTTTTATTTTAGAGAGAAAAACTTTGCGACCGAAGATTCAGGAGTACACTGCTCCTTTATTAACACCCATTTGGCCAAATAGCATAAAAAATAAAATAAAGGTTTCTCTTCTTCTTTTTCTCTCTCGCTATCACATCTCATCTCTCTCATTTTTCTCTCTTGCTTCACCTTCATTTTTTTAATCTCTTACTGTATTTTTTAGTTCAAATTTACTGTATCATTTTTTTTCAAATTTATTGTATGTTTCTTACTATATCGTGTCAATACCATATATTTATATTTCAAAAAGAATATATTTTCTTCATTGTTACAAAAAAAAAAAACTTATATTTTTCTCTTTGCAACAAACAAAATTTGTTATTCTTTTCAAAATGCAAAGGTAGATGCAGTAGAAAGTTGAACCTTTTAAAAAGAAAAATTGTCCTTCCATTCATTTTTTTCCTCGTGTTTTTTTAAATATAGAAAGATACATTAGAAAAAAAAACAAATGAATAAAAGAGTTGCTTGTGATTTTGTGAATGGAAATAAAAAAACGTTAAAAAAAGAGAAATAAAAAATGATGAGACATTGTAAAAGAGAGAAAAATGAGGAAGTAAGACATTATTGGACCACGTCATTATGAGGGCGGAATTCTTTTCTTTATTTTACGGTCATATGATTTCTTATCCTGGTGTGGTCACTAGGTGTTACCATCAGTTTCATTTTAAAACTACGTGGGATCCAATAACGTTAAAATTTTTTAACTATATATAAAATTTGAGGAATGATTTAATTAGATTATGTTCCCAAAGTATCATAGCTTTGAATATTCTTTGGTCACAAGGCAGCCAAACTAGACTTTTGGATTTTCCCTTAGAAAAGCAATGTAAAATGACATAACTAAATATGGGCACAACAGGTAGGCAAGTTTGGAAATTAGATGTCAAATAAAATAATAAATTTTATGGTTATCAGTTAAAGGAATAGCACTTAATTAATTTATATAAATAGCATTCCAATTAATGCACCCAATTTCCCCTCTAAACTTCATTTTCATTTTCGTTTCTTTTCAATTTGTTTAATTACAGTGGGGATTGTGGGCCTAATTATCGAATGTGATTGATTAAATTTATAATTTGAATTAGAGCAAAAAAAAAAAAAAAAAAATCCCGAAGAAATTCTTAAAATGTAGTGTCGGTGGTAGAATACATAACCTTTTCTTGTGCAGAGACGTAGCCATTTCCCGGCCTAGTTAAGTGGATAAAATATCTAAGACAATATATTTAAATTATCAATATATCATTTTAAAATAATACTATTTTTAATAAAAGTAATTTTGAGAATAACAAAAGTGCAAATCTATCATATAATATTTTACGATAATTTTAAGAAACGATAAACATTATTTTGATCCTGTCAAAATCACTTTCAAACATGTMTTTATTATCATTTCAAAGATTGATGGGTCAATTCTACGTATAAAACCTAAAAATTTTAGGTAAAGATGAATTATGATCCATTTATACCAAGTTTTGGTGTTTTTAGTTGAGAAGAAATAGAGTAATCGTTGATTTCTACAAAGGTGAAATATTCTACATTATCTTTTTTTTCAAAGTAATCTCTTCGTGAAAGTCTTCCAAAGACAAAAACACAACCAATTGAAAGTGGAACTGTCTTTTAAAATTCTTAAATTTTTTCTTAAATTAGATTATTCCTTGAAAGAGATTTATCATGAAAACGTTGATCAATTATTAAATTATTATTTATTAGCATATTTCTAATACTTAAATAACTTGTTCATCTTTAAAACTCAATATACTACCAATAAAATCTATTTTTTTCAGCGACATATTCAAGTTGGCATACCCACATGTCGAAATATATTAATGAAACAATCATTTAATGAAACACAGTGAGAATTTTCAATAATACATCCACGATATATAAAATTACAAGTTAAAAGATGGTCAAATTGAAAATGACTTAAAGATCTCAGAGGAAATTACAAAAAATAGTGCATAGGTTTTAAAATTGATCATCACATGAGACGAGACGAACCAAAAATTACTTTTGTGGTATTTTTGAAAAATAAAAAATAATAATATCTTTATAAATACATATGTGATTTAATATAATTTATTTTTTATTAATAGGACGGCCAATTGACCATTTTTGACGTTAAGCTAGATGTACCATTATTTTCATACGGTACTATATGCAATTATAGTAAGATATTAATTGCATAGCAAAAAGTGCATTAAAGATACCACATAAAATAAAATTTGATAACTTTGGCCGTTGTCATGTGAATGTTTTTGTTAAATTTTAGTAAAATATTAAAATTGTATCTACCAAAAAATAAATTAAAAAATTATTAATCAAAGAATAGATATTTGTTAAATCGGGTAAAAAAACCTATACGTTTGTATAACATTTTAGTAGTTATATTAGTTTTCATTAAAATTTAGGACTTATCTATACTACATATAAAACGTAAAGTATGGAGAAACTTTATCTCTCTATTTTGTCCTTCAATATTATTCATTCTCTCGGATAATTTTGTCATTTATCTCTCATTTTCTCTCTCCAAATCTCTTAAAAGTCCACTAATTCTCATCTATCTTTTCGAGTCATGTCATTATTTTTTTTTCATTCACTTTTTACTTTATTTTCCTCCACTTGTCTAAGTTCCTTATTCAAATTATCATTTATTTCAATTTATTTGGAAATTGTAAAGAGGGAGTGATAGTATTTAAAAAGAGAGGAAAAGTTAGAGAAAATTAGAGGGATGAAAAATCCAGGAGAGAAATTTGTAAAAATTGAAAAATAGTATTTAGAAATATAGATAAAATTAGATAAATTAAAAGAGATAAATATGATAAAACTATTTTAAACTAATAGTAATAAAATGGTAAATTTGAGGTGCATTCTTTTAGAAAAATTATCTTCCATCACTTGGGCAATTTTATCCTTAATATTTTAATTTTGTTTAAAATGTCTGATGAAAAAGTAAAAGATTAGGATCTAAAAAAGTAAATAAAAACAACAAATAATAAAAAGAATAAAATGGAAACATTCACGTGATAAACACAATCAATGAAGAAAATGAAGTAAAGACAGTACAAAAAGATAATCTATAACTTTTCTACTAGGACCTCCACCCAACCTCTTGGAGCTAAGTGAGGAAGTAGAGTTAATCATTTGTGCAAGAACGAAGGAGGCTTTTAGGGTCGTGGATAAACTCATTGTCTTGAAAGCAATTTCGACAAAATCATAGTTGTTTATGCAAGGATATGCACAACAGTGTATTTCAGATTGCAGCTCGAACTCGGCCTCCGGACCGATCTGAATACTTGGGCGGACCTGCACAAAAAGGTGAGCACTCCGACGATCAAGTCAGTATAGGTCGGATTCCCAGTTTAGTTCGAGGTCAGAAATCATCGTCCCTGATCGTGGAGTGAAGTCCTCTACTTATGTGTGGTAGTCCCGCTAATCTCGCAACGGTTACACCCGGTAATCTCGGGACCGTCGGTTACACCCGGTAATCTCGGGACCGACGGTTACACCCGATAATCACGCCGCTGACAGTAGCTCACATCG